CCGCTCGCTTATAAACCGACCACCACACTTTGGCGTCATTCGCTGACTGCTCGTCTTATCACCTCGAATGTACGTCCACTTTTCAATTTATTCTCCACCTTATTAACTCTATTGTGCTCCGCTAATCTCACTGTTTATTGCTATAGAACCACAAAGAATAACCGAGTTATCCTGACTGTCTTCTGACATAGCTCTGACCTCGGGTGCGTCTATTCAGGTGAATAAAACAGCACTGAATTTAAAGAACACCAACAACAGTATCATTACAATTAGTTGTAAAGACTTGAAAACAGAATTTCTGCATTCACAGATGTTCCCCATCCCTCACTGAAAATTTTCTGTCTCCTTGCATAGTCACACATAGAACTCTCTGACGAACCCAGTCTTACAATGCTTTTTACCACACAACCGTTAACAGGAGGGTTCAAAAGGGGTTCGCCAAGCCCATTCAATTCGCGAGTGATTTTTTACGCAGAAAAATGTTAAATTAATCTGCCAGAATGACGGTGGTAAAATTGGGAGTCCGAAGATATCTAGATATGCTGTGGTAAGGTGGCACCTTACTTACAGCACAGGTACTAGCCAAAAGCCCACACAGGCGTGTTCCGCGAAATATGCTGCCGCTGCACGGCGCAGCTACGAGAGCGTCCGGCTCATCAGTGGGTCCGCCAGCATTTTCCGTCTGTTTTCTGGTACACACTCCAATTTATATATTGTCGCTTTTCAATTTCCCTAGAAATTATCTACGAACCTGGAGTCATCAATTACCGGTCATTCATCGTCAGTCCTCCTCTAAGCATGGTCACGAACATCGATCCCTGCTAAATTATAACAAAGTCTCCCTCATCGGTGCCACTGACAAGGCGGAGTTGTTTAATGCTTTCTTTGCAAAACGCCTCATTACTAAGTTCGAACCAGTCCATTTCTTTCGTTCACTTTCACATATGACTCTGAGTGCAATCCATGTCTCCTCAGATCTCATACAGAAACACATAAGCCGTCTGAAAAACTCACACTGCTCAGAAACGGACGGGATTAAATATTCAATTAGTAAACAAGCATCCGACCTTCCCATATTGCTTAGTCCTTTATTGTCGGTTTATATTTCAAAAGGATTCTTTCCTGAAGCATGTAAAACGTCAATTATCATTCCCTTTTTCAAGTCTGGATCTCGGTCCGAAGTTAATAATTATCGGGGCGTGCACAAAAGACCCTCTCTAGCAAAGATTCTTGAAAGGATAATTTTCAATGAAATTCCTGCCTTCTGTCTAGCTAATCGGCTTCTGACTTCTAGTCAGCATGGATTTTTACCTGAACGATCTTGCGAAACTCGCCATTTGACATTTCTCAATCTAATCACTTCTTTTCGTAATGAGCAGCACTCACTGATAGTTATCTTCTTTGACCTTAGTAAAGCATTTGACAGGGTGCCTCATAGACGTCTGTTAGTAAAATTGGAAGCACTCGGCATGCGGCCGCCTCTACTTGATTTCATCAGGTCCTATCTGTCCAACCGATATCATAAAGTCATGGTCGGTAATAGCTACTAGACACCTTACTCGATCACGAGTGGCGTACTTCAAGGCACGGTTCTGGGTCCGCTAATCTTCCTTCTTTACATCGATGATATTTCGACTGAACTCGGAAATTCGCAAACTGTTGTTTATGCCGATGAACTCAAGTGTGTTTTTTAATATTCTTAGGACACCGCAAACGTTTATGTTGAAAAAATTAATGTCGATTTATTACGCTTAAGCAGATGGGGTTCAACATGACGGATGGATTTTTTAACATCCAAGTGTAGTTTCACGTCCTTTGGTCCTGCCAAACTTTCTTCTATCATAATGTTTCAGAATAACCCACTCTCAGAATGCTTCACCATAAAAGAGATAGGTCTAAGTTATACAGATAAATTTGCTTCATCACCTCAAGCAGATAGAATCTTTGCCAAAGCCTCGCAGATATGTGGATACATTTCGCATAATTTTTTCCTTCCGGAAATAAAGCTAAGACTTTATCAAATGTCTGTTCTTCCAGTCTCCGTATACTTTTGTCCTTTACTTGGTTAAATGAACGCCTGTGACCGCTATAAGATCGAGAATGTCTTGAGAGTCTTCACCCGGAAACTGTTTTCTCAAGCTTCGTGAGGTACTTCTTATATTCAGAGATGTCAGCTGGCGAACATTAAGTTTTTGTGGGTTAGAAGACTCGAAGCTGGCCTTTGCTTCATTTTTCGCATCAACTCTACCTCCAATCTTCCGCTCATTGACACTCTTACTCCGAGAGATCGGTCTTATGCCACGCGCAACTCCTGCATGGTGATTCCGCCGCCTCTTTGTACTACATCTAAGCGATCCCTCTCCTTTGCTTCTAAATATGCCTTTCTTTGAAATAATCGTCCACCAGAAATTAGGTCATCGCCTCAGTTACTGGTATTCAAGTTTAAATTAAGCAAACACCTTACACCGGAAAGCATAAAGGCAATTTTAACGGTCTCATTCACGATCAATCGACTTCTTGAATTCGAAAACGGTCCTCCTGGGATTTAGTGGTAGATAAAGTGGGAACCCTCAATTATATCATAAGAAACCCCTGTTTCGAATTGGTTTCTAAATCCATTGCTATCACTCCTCCCCCATAGCGACGATTTCCGCGGTTCATGATATCATATCCCGCATTTCGATCTCATGCGGTCTGTCGACGCTCACAACGGAACCCTTAGTATTCGCCGTCTACTAGTAGTTTGGTCGTAACGCCCTTGCTCATTCTTCGGCTGGACTGGAAGCGGACTGTAACCGATTGCGTCTGGGTTCCTCTCGTCTGACCTCTTTGACGCGAATAGTCTCATCCGGTGTATCAATTCTGTCCTGACGATGTACGTTCTAAATTGCATATACAGTAACACAGGCAGGTCAGTCCTGTCCTACCCGCACACGTACCCCTCAATGCCGACATTTATTTTTGCCCTGAAGATGTCCGATAATAATCCGTTATATAACGCCACATGCAGGTCAGGCCTGCCCGTAATTCTCTGTTAATATTAGCGAGGGTTTTTTCTCCTGTAAAATTAATCCAATCATTTTTAAATTTTATGTGGAGTTTTTTTCACCGCTTGCTTGTCATTTTTATTAACGGACTTCAAAATCAGAAACTATGAATTGAATTTTGTGCAAATTCTGCCTACCTAGTTTTAAATTCTTACGTAAATTTATTTCTTCTTGCTTTGATGGGTCCCCGAAGGGTCTTTAATAAATTTACTATTGTTATTAGTTTATTCAAGGCCTATAGGCACAGACTGAGAATTTTCTGTATGAATATTTGGGCCGAAGTCCATCAGCCACAGCAGATAACTGCGTAATATTCGTCAACTGTCGACAGGCAGCTAGTAGTATACTTTGAATGAATATTACGCTGTTATCTACTCCAAATTCGTAGATAATTTCTGAGGAAATTAAAAGCGACATCTATATATTTGGTTGCTTGTACGTTAGAATAAGCAAGTGTAGGAAACCGAGGGCGGGCCCTTAAATTCTTCGCTTTCAATGTTACAGCAGATACGATACCGCCCATGGCAGGTAGGCATGTACAAAATAATCTGTGAAATGAGGATGTAATGGGATTATTGGTTCTTCAGCTTAGTCATATGGCTAATCTTAGGTGAGAAATAAAATTCGTGTGGGCAGCTAGTAAATGTACGGATTAGATATGAACATTTCTTGCGCCGTGTCCTAAATGACTGGCACAACGAAACTCACGCGGTCATCTCTAATAACTCGAGCAAATTAGGAAAGAAAGCTTATAACTTAATATGTTAGCTGGGCAGGCTACTGTGGCATAAGACAGCGGAGAATCAGGTAGTAAATGCGCATGGAGTTTTCAAGCCCAAAAAACACACCAGCGATAAAACGTGCAACATCCGGATTTTACGTATTGCTCATTTTGTGCCATTTCCGATGAAAAAGATTAGACTGCTTCGGTGATATTTTCGTTACTTTAAGCCGATTTTTGTCGCTTGTTCACTTTTGCGTCAATTACTTACATTTTTTAACTTCAACTTCGACGTCACATTTTTACGTTTCACCGCTTCTGCCTACTTACTTTTTTCCTTTTTATACCTGTTATTTGAGCGTTATTTAACTACTCAGTCCTTCATATACCATTCCAACTTTATTTTGAGCGTACCACTGTTTAACGCAGTTTCATCTCTGTCCAGGTTACGGAAAAGGGCAGCAAATTTTTCAGGGAGTACTGATTTCCAGTTCAGTTTCACGCAATGTCTTTAGCTAATCATCGTGCAAGTATGCAGTAGTGTTTTTCTTTACTGGGTTCCTTCCCGGCAGGTTAAATTTTGTGCCCTATTTGGTGCCTCGTGAGGCCTTTCGTCCAAGATGACTACTACTCTGGATGAGCTTGTTGAACAGTCAGATAGACTTCTAACAGAGATTCAAGGAGATACAGACCTTCCGTTAATAACAAGGAGCATAGAGCAAATGGGTGCCTTTGGAGAAAAACTGTGCTCAGCGCGTGACGTTCGCAACGACGTGAAAGCCGCAAGACTCCTCGGGGCCACAGTTAATTATGACCTCCCTAAAACTCTGGCTGAAAGACTGGAATCATTAGACGCAGTGGGCGAAGGTGACTTTGGCCCACCACAATCAGAAATGGATATCCATACGTATTTAAGACGTGAACGTGAGAACCTCCTGCTCTCCGCCAGCGAACAGGCCAAACAATCGGTGAGATTACACGTTATATAAAATATGACGTGTTCTCTTTCATTACTTCAGTCCGAATCCTGTTTTCCCCACAAAACTGTTCGTATGCATTGAATGCTTGATATCTTTTAGGCATTTGCTGAGGCTGACGCTGTCTGCAGGCTTGCTCACTCTGCCTGGTGGAGTCGTCAGAAGGCCGCAATCTTAAGTGCTCTGGCCAGTTCTGCTGGTCCGATCGATACTGATATGCAGCATTTCTCTCCATCAAAAGCAATTGACATTCAGCGAGTCGGACCTTTAGATCCAAATCCGTACGCTTCCGATCGACAGAATTCACTGTCTAAGGAGGAACTCTTTTATGCACAAAAGGTTGGTTTTAAAAAACATTGCCATTGCCGTTTTATCATTTCGATAAAATGTTGTCTTCTAATGACCTAATGTTCCATTTCAGGTCGACCAATTTCTGACCGACAGCTTCGCATCAACAAAGAACCTCTACGGCCGCCTGACAGTCGCTTCTGGCCTTCTGACAAAACCCATACTTTTCGATTACTTATACCCAGAGTCGACTTTACCAGTGCCTGGAAAATCAACAACGTCTGTCTTCATCGATGAATCAAAACATGTTGACTTGCTCGAAGTTCTTCAACTTGTTCGTCGAATGTTTTCTGTCTCGGCTTCCTTGGTGGATGTAAACTCCGAAACGCCTCTCTGTGACTTGCCTTTGCCTATAGCTGTTCCAGACAGGGCATTAGAACATCGGGCAAGTCCTGCTCTGCAGTCCGCGTTCATTGCCCGGTCGATCGCGCACCTCGAGACCGAATTCACTGCCTATTTAAGAGCAGTTGTGAACGCGAATCCTCGTCAAGCCCAACTTGGAGGACGACCCGGCACTCGTTCTCTGGTTCGCGCCTTTCTCAATGTGAAGAATCCTGTCTTAGGTCAAACCTCTGATTCACGACAAAACGGTTTCGAAGCGAGTTTTAGTGACGTCGAGGTAAGTCTTCAGTTCGAGACTCGATCTTTTTTGGCTTGTTCTCGCACCCATCCGTCTTTTGCATTTGCGATTATATTTGCTTAGACCCAATTTCCTGGAGTGTTCACAGGGACAGCCAGTGACGACTTTGTATCCAGCCTTTTTGCGAGGATTAAATATACTACACATGTGTTCCCAGGCCGGTTCCCCGGACCGTGTAACAGACCCGTCCAAGTGCATTTTGGTCATACGAATTAATTTATCATGCTAGTCTCAATGTTCTTATTGAATACGAAATTTCTTTTTTCTCGAAGTATTGATTGTACGAGTTCACGAAAACGCGCGTTAGCAATTAGTATTAACCATAAGATGACGGCATAATTATCTACACCATTGCACTCACGATAGCCGTTGCAAGTAAGGAAAAGGCTTGACTGCTCATATTCACGTGCAAACTGTCTGTGCACGCCGAAGTAACTGATTCGGACCGAGGCATCAGGATCTCTGTCTGAAAGCGCATGAGCCCAAAACACTTTTCTGATCAACTGAATTATTTTCTCCAAAAAAGTTGAAACCCACTGCAGAAAACTTCTCCAGCCTAGGAAAGTTTTAACTGAAGCTATTATGACTTCCATAGAACCACGCAAATCAAGAAAAACTGCCACACTTATGCCCACACTCGCTCCTTGATATTTGATAGTTCGGAATGCCAGCGAGTAGAGAAAATTGACTTCCCTATGAACCAAGTAATCAAACATAGATGCGAACTTTCTAACACCCACCTTCAAAACTTGGTGTGATGAAATGCTGCCTGATACTTAGCATTATGTCTTAGGCTGAAGGTTCGTGTTATTCGAGTCCAATATCCACAATATCCACATTTTCCAAAATCACTGTTTAAACGTTATTACTACCGATTGATTTTTTCCCTGTCGGCTGCACTTCTTTACCTTACGTACAAAATTTCGAGCCTATCGGGTTCTGCGTTTTTGACTGCGATTTAGAGCACGTGTTCGAGACCCTTGTTATTTAAATGTATCATTAAAAGATAGGTTTTATCTCAAGTCATTCAGTAATTTTTAGCGAAGATGCTCACCGCCATCATGAATGGCTTCATTCGTAACCTTTCAATTGCATACAAGGCATAATAGCATGGAGAAAGTATTAAGACGAAAAAAGTGATAATGTAAGAAAACGCGCTTGAATCTCGAGGTTACAAGCAAAATCCGAGTTTTTTGTATTTCACTCTTCCGAGGCGTAAAAGGTAGTGCTAATGTCGGATTGAAGGATCCCCATACACCGAAGTTTAAACGGCTATAAGACGAAAATCGCGCTGGGATGACATCGTAAGCATTGAATAAAGGGGTGGGCTACATCATAGAAAATAAGGCATTTTAGGATCGCTGTCGCACTATCATGTCGACTAGGGGGATGGGAAATGACGGCGTCAAAAAGCATGCATAAATACGTCTTACACATCGAATACCAACTTGTCATAATGCATGAGAATTTACAGGAGGTGAACGAAGGATAAATGAATGAATGCAAACATTATCAACACACCAGGTTAACGACTGGAAGTAGGGAACAAGAACTCAAACGTCGAGAATTAATGTTATAAGGTAATCGTAATTGGAAAACGTACTGAAAGGACCTCCGGCTATTTACCAGACCATTATGTGGTGATCACATCGGATCATGTTTTAAAATCGTCTTAGGAAGTGGAATACCATCATCATTTTTTGGTGGGGTGGCCAATGACTGTCTTAAGCATATTTGAATCAGGGGTTGTCTTTGAACGGCCGAAGTCACCAATATGAAGTAAAAAGAAGTGAAGGCGCAGAATGATATCTTAGAATGTGCTGCAGTGTTCGGGGAGAAGTGGGCATTTCTGCCTGGAAGACTGCATAACTGGAGTTCTGATAATCCAAGAAGTAACTTAGTTAAGAAAGCGGCGCTGAGGTATTTTCGTGAGAATAATTTGCGAGACAGCCGTAAAAACGGAATAGTCATGGAATGTATATCAGTATGCACGGCAACCTTTTGTCTAAATCCCTGAGAGCACTGGCCATCTAGAGCGACTGCATTTAAGGCACATGATCTTGCCATGTACTAAATGTGCAGGGATCAGAGAAAATAATGAGGGGTAGGATTGAAGCCAGGGCAGTTTGTTCAGCGAGCATCAGCACAGCTGGCGAATAAGCAGTGGCGGAAGGAATTAGGACTTCGGTTAGTGGCCTCTTTAGGGGCAGAAGCAATTATAACGGCACGCCAGACATTTTGGAGGCTTTGAAGTATATGACAAGAAGATGAGATAGCACTGATGCACGCCGCAGAAATCATTCCTTAAAGAGAAGTAGGGATACACCCCCAGATTCAGCGCATGCTGGACCACAAATGTTTGTAATATTCGGGCGCCGACACTGCGCAAAAGCCAGCCAGTACTTTATGCTAAGCTACACAGACTTTCGAGCGTATGTTCAGATCAGCCTGAACATAGACTGGCATGGCTCTGAAGCCTTTAATTTCCCCCTATTTCCGCAGCAGAAGGGAATTAGTAGAACAAGGAGAAGCCGAGGGAATAAAAACGGTAGACAAAGTGTGGTTGTCATTTTGGCCTTTAAATTATCGTGCCATTCCTTCAGGAATTCTGCATGTCGCACTTTGTAACATTATATTTGGCTGTCATCTCTGCAAATTAATATCTTTTAGGATGGTTTGGTGGACGAAAAGCCTGTCTGGCCAATGATTTACTACTGTTTACGGTGTGGTGCTCTCCAGGACGCCATTAATATTGCCACCGAGGCAACGTAAGTATTTCGTAGCATTTTACTTGTTTCTTTCCCTCCTTATTTCGGGCCTCGAGTCCCCCAATAGTGCTGGTTCGCCAGCTTGTTTTTAAGTAAACTCATCCATTACCGACTCCTTCTACTTGTGCCTTTATTTAATAAAGACGAAAATTGACGTTATTCACTGTCATGTTCCTTGTAACCTATTTATGTGGTTGACTAACCTCAATCGTATTTGGTTTCACCTTACGGTGAGAGCGGGTGAGACGGTGTTTGCCCTCCACTTTCAAGTCACATTTAATGCCTTTTTTGCCCTAACATTTTCAGTCGGTTGATTGGTTTCGCCCAATCTACATAAAATCCTTACTTGAAAGGCCGTTTTCGCTGCGCAGAGGGATTTAAATGTCATATTGCCTGAAGGGCCTACACACCCTGAGAACCGATTCTGTCATTCTATTTGCTAGGAACTTGCAGTTTAATTAGCTTCATGAGCTTTGTTAAGTTTTCGCCCGGCCTTGTCTATTGGATTACTAGGATAAGTAATCCACTATTCTTCTTCTTATAGTAGCAATTTGGGCGATTTCTCTGAAATCCTGAAGTGCTACCTAAAACAGGAACGACTACTTCCAGCAAAGATGGTGGCCACTCTCAGGAAAAGCTACCGACGTACAGTAAAATCATCAAGGGATCCCTACAAGCGGTACGTCGTCCTTGTGTTGTTCTAATGCACAACTTATTTCTAGTCTCTTGACTTTCGCCCTGCTACCAGTCAACCGCCTCGTTTATTTGTTTGGGGGGCAAGACACACGCCCAGACTCCTCTGGCTTCACTACTGCCTGATGACGTTCTCTCTCACACTCTCACCCTCCTTCCCTCCCTGTCTCTCACTCTCTGTCGCCATCCTTTCCCAAACTTGTAAGGCCCATCTCCCCACGCCAACGTAATTAACTGCTATTGTCCGTTCTTTACCAATGACTTAGTAAGGAAGACCATCCCAACTATTTCACGCCCTGAGTATCTCAAAATAAGTCTCCGAAGCTCGACTCATTTAATTTCACCCTTGCCTCTCATCTTTTGATATCTAATGATTTGGAATTTGCAGCTGCACTGACCACTCACTACCGACCTATCCAACTTCAAGGAAACGTCCCCTCAAGCCCTTCCAAAACTGACAATTTGTTGCGAGGTTTCAGGGCCTTCCTTGGCCACGATATTCTGGAGATCTGTGGAATTTGTTAATATCCTGACAGAAAGCTGTCAACTGAATGCTGTTTCCACAGGCCATAGGGTTAGGCCACCAGAGTGGTGGCAGATATGCCCCAGCTGCCTCCGTAAGGTGAGAAAGTGCCTCAAGAATAGTACGAGCGTGCGCATCATCGGTGCGAATACGCAGGAGGGGGTTGGACTATGACACTGTTGTTTCTCGGTATTTCTACCCTACGTTGTTGTCCATTCCGTTTGTCCCATATGCAGCTAATGTGGAAATTTGCCGCCCAATGCGTTACATCGGCCCGCCGCTTCTTCCAGTTGTATGCGAGTTCCACAGGAGTTCGAGTTGATTTCGAAGCCTTTAAACCAAATTTTCAAGACGCTCTTGTGTCGCTGTGCTCCCCCGTTATTTAACAGGACTCACACCCTATTGTTCCATTGCTGCGACAGTTTCTCTTTCTCAAGGCACCGCATCACGTCAAAACTGTTTATTTTCTTATCTTTTGGCGCTGCTTCTTCTCTTGTGCATAGGTAGACGTGGCAGTAGTCAAACTCAGATCCGTTTTTGTCATTTTTTGTAGACTTGTTTACTGTCTTTTGGGCCGCTGCGACCTCTCAGACGCACACACTGAGGTTGCCCAAAGTATCGACGATTTTCTGTGGCTGCGTCTTTCGCAGGTTTCTATCTCTTCTGATGAATCGGCGGCCAACCTCGCTCTGCAGACAGAAGGCCTGGACGATGAGGAAATTCTGACTTTGGGCCAGTTTCAGACCCTTCTATACGACACCTACGGTATGCACACGCCCTCCCTCTAGTGAACGTACGTGCTCTGAGCCTGTGCTAATCCCCTCCAACATACCTCCACTTTTCCTTCAGCATAGCCTGTACATACGTTCAGGCAAGTGAAATATTCGCTTACTTTGTCAGCTGTTCATTAACGTCCCTGTGGCCATTTTCTTACAGGTGAGGCGCACTTCGATGCATGGAATCAGCCGCTGGTGTACTTCAAACTTCTCTGTCTCAGTCAACAGTTTGAGGGCGCCTTGGCATTCCTCGCGCGCCTCGAGGGGCTTCGGAGCCATGCAGTACACATTGCAATCCTTCTGCACACCATGAAGATCCTAATCCTGCCCCAGTCCCTTCATAGTCCTCTCAGTAAGTATGCAGACACATACGGAGTCCGCTTCTCCTGTACCGACGCCTAGCTGCAGTAGGCATGCACTTGGCTTTATTATCCCACTGTCATAATCCTTCTTCACAATCCGGACGTGAAGGGCCGGCCGGAGCACTAGTTGCCTTTGGCAGTCTTCTTCATATGTCATTTCACCTGTTGTAATTCATTAATTTCACGCATACCGTCTGTCCAGTGACAAGTAACCAGTAAAAAGACGTGGCCACCACTAGGCTCCAAGCCGGAATTTTACATCTCCCGCGCCGACGAGGCATCGCCGTATTACGGTAGATTCCCAGGCATATATATTCAGGAAAATCAAATTTCCCTTCCCAAATACTTAAGGTTATTTTTTGCCTTTATTTGCAGTCACGCGAGTTGACTCCGATCCTGCGGGTTTCCGACGTCTTAACTTTGCCCGCCTGCTCCTTCTCTATACGCGCAAGTTTGAGGCTTCCACCCCCTGCCAAGCTCTCAACTATTACTACTTCCTGTCTGATATTGAGTCCGTCTTTTCCGAGGGCGTCTCCGATGCCACAATCAACTCCCTCACCACCACGACGCCCATCTCCAGGAATCCGCTCTCCTCTATCCTGACCGTAGATACTGCGGCCAAGGCAGCCTGCGGCAGTCTTTTCATTCAGTGTGTCTCGGAGCTGGTTATTCAGACACGTGAGGTTGGTTTTTCTGGCCAATCAGACCGTCTCTTTAAGCTTTGTGATGCAATTACTTGTGCCTTTACCTGTTTTTTTTTCCTTTACAGTTTGATCTTCTGCTCGGCACGCTCACAGATGGAGGTATTCATAAGGTAAGTATGACTCTTTATTTTAACTTTGTCCATCATAAACTTGCTGTTAAAACCCTCTGCCTGCGCCTGTCCTTGTAGCCCGGCTCCATTAACCGATTCTGCTCGGATAACGGCCCAATAACAGTTTCCAGAATCATCTCCACGGTGGCCGAGACTTTGGAGGCGCGGGGGCAGTTGTTGGACGCGGTGCATGTCTATCTACTGGGCGGTGTCAGTCACCTGCTTTCCGCCGTACGACTCACCAATCTGATGCTCGTTGCTGTAGTCAGTGATGGATGTTCTACCACCAATGCGCCTTCGGCGGACAGTGAATTTTCCGCAAATCCGCAAAACGACCGTACAGCCGTCCTTCGGATGGCTACGGAGGTCAGTATCCTCATGCGTCTGTCCACCTCTCGCTAGTGTTAGGCCTGAAACTGCCTTTCTCTGGAGTCTGGTACGCATAAATTGAGACCAGCTCGTGTGTGGTACGCGTAGATAGCTGCTCAGCCACTGCACCCACACCCATCTCCGGTCCTTCTTTTGTTTTGTCATTGCGATACGACGGGTGTGGCGACGGGGACGAGGCAGGTCCCACACCCATCCCTTGAGGGGGCACAACCCTCGCTCATATCGTCTCTGCACTCTTCTGCGTCGCAGAGGTTTGAGCTACGACAACTGTCGCCGCTAATACTACTGCTACTGCTGCTACTAGTACCACTGTTGCTACTACTACTACTACTACTCTACTAATACTACCATTATTTTTCTCCTCTATTTCGTCCGCGAATGAAGTTGGCCTCTAGCCTTGTGTGACTTAACATAATTTCCCCCCTATACTAATGAAAACGCCTTAGGATTTTAAGATACTCCTTCCTGATACTTGTACGTAAACGCCTATGAGCGCTTTTATTGGGCGCGGACCGATTAGTATGTCGGCTCATCGACTCGCTTTCAAACTAAAGCTGTGTGTGTCACCAAGGGTTCCTGTTCTGCTGTATATTTCGGCATTCTTGTGAATCGCAAAATCACTTTAGCAGTAATTCCGTTCGAGTCCTGTTATCCCAGTCAAACAAAACCCATTTTACAACGTAGTAGAAAAAATACTTTTTGAGGCGAACGCCCGGAGTGCTCTGTAATCATAATATATATAATTCCCTCTTCAATGGCCCCTCCCTGTTTTGTTTAATGAACTAAACTTGTGGCTTCGCTGAGACAGAAATCGTTTTTCCCTCATTCACTCCCCCCCCCTCGGTTGACAGACAGCGCCATTGTCCGTTAAAAGGCATAGTCGCAGTGGATTCATTCTTTCAAACCCAAACCACAAACAGACTAACAATTAACAAGAGTTGATAAACTTGCCTAGCCAGAGGCAGGTCGGTGCTTTAATGTGAACTTCAATCACAACCCGTTTTCTAGTAGTGCAAGTTAGCCGACTGTTACTTCTCATCCCATTTTTGAAGTACACGCCGGTTTTGTTGTTTTTTTTTTCGTCGGACATTAATCCGATTCCTGCATCATTTTGCTAACCGCGAATTAATGGGCTTACAGGTACGGCAAAAAAGCTTGTAATGGAAAGAACCAAACCGAAGTAGTGATCGACAAGAACCGACTACAGGTACAGCATAAATGTCGGTCTGGCACTACGGATTCTCGTCTGGAATCGCTATGGCAAACAGCAAATTACGCACAAAATATTGTGTATTTTTACATCTTGCATTTACCCAGCCGTACCCTCTTCTCTTCACACGTTTAATAGGCGCTATTAAACCTTATCGAAAACCGTCTATTGGCCCATTAGATAGTTTCGCCAGCAAGGCCACTATCTGCAGCAGCTGATATGGCCCAATGCCTTGGATGTTATTTGGGCCGCACGCTTTATTTTTGCTCGACGGTGGTGTGCACGAGTGAATGAGCGATTAGCTTTGGTTTGTAATTCCCTCTAAATGATTAATTCTCGGAAAAAAAACAGTTGAAGGGAGACGTTTCAAGCAGAAGTTAAGTTTACTCCAAAAACTTTGATTTGGGCTTCGGCTCCGACGCCTCGGTTTACTGTGTATCTCGTTGCAGAAATGTAACCTGGCACATGAGCTATGTCAATATAATATAAACCCAATTCCCCTGCACCTTCAAATTCCTAGGTTGGCCGAAGTATTCAGCGCATGAACCTTCCTTCCTCACCGGGAGATCCGTCGGGAGAACAAAGCACATCGCTCAGGTCTGCTTCCCAGACTCTATTTTATCTTCTTGACCTCTCCACTTTCTTCGATCTGGCCAACTCTTGCCAATGGCAGGCCGCTCTTGATCATATGGATCGTCTTGGGATTTTCCCCAGCAACTGCAACTCGGCGCACATTGAATCCAAGGTTTCCGCCTACGCAGTCCTGCCCGACCTTGTTCGACGGCCACTGTCGAATGCATTGATCCAGTTAATGCGTTGTATCGTAGCTAAGGCCAACCAGGCCAAAGTTTCATCGTCTTCTGCCGGCAGGTGAGCCTCTTCGTCATCTTTACGTTCTATTTAATTTGATGGTCTCAAAAGTTACAGCAAAATATTTTGATATATCTGGCCTTTGTGTCCACAAGACTACGTCTCAGCGGGTCCTGCGGACACTGTCGTGCCCCCCATGTCGTGGCATGCACACATTGACAATTTTCACGTCTGGTAAAACGTTAGTGGTTTCGTATTTTGTTGTGACTTCTCTTCGCTCTTGTAGCTCGGTTTTTATTGCGAGAACTTGCGCGCTGGCTTGTGTTCCTGCGTTCCCGAGGTGACAAAGCCTTCAAGAAGTTGTACGTTCCGGTGAGGTGCTAGACCTTAGTTTTCCTTTACGAGGTGCGCATCGCGTTATGACGGATTTTTCGCTAGAGATTCCTGAGACGCATCCTTGAGACTTGCTGCCAAACTTAATCATCCACTGTTAATCTCATTGTGTCCTTGGTAGCCATTCAGTTAGCGTTCACTCTAACTCCGTCTACTCCGACATAGGGTAAAATCACAAGTCAGTCTTACGAATCAAGTAAATTATTCTATGACGTAGACTGAAAAATGGCCAAAATCGGTAGCTCTTTCAAATAGCAAAGTGTAGGTAGATGAACTCGTGTGAGACTGTGCATGGAATATGATAGTTCGACCGTCGTTGCCGGCGATGTCCGCCGTGTGCTTCACAGCAGGCACGGCTACTTGCGCATGAATTAGCTGATAGTGAGAGTGGACTTGCAAAGCGTCTACCGCACTCTATCCTCCTCCCCTACCTGGACCCGGTGTCAAGACATAGTCAAGAAGACGGGAGGCGGGGGTGGACGCAGGTGGATGGCACGGTCAAGCCCGCAGTCCACTCCACACCCCCTGGTCCACACAGCACTGACCAGGATTTTAACCAACAACAACGGACCGGACTGGTGCGGTCGAAGTCGCCCCTAAGTTTGCCGTCACACGTGGCTCGGATCCTACGGAGTGGGAATGCCATAAAAGCCACATTAAAAAGTAGCCATTGCAGCCTGACTCTCAGACCACCGGTCGGTCGTACTGTACAAACACGCCCTGGGCCGACTGCGAGGTCCAAGTCATCCCGTCAGTTGACAACCTTCCAAGCCACGGTTTTTAGCGCACCATGTTAGCTTCAAGTGCTTCAGATTGCCTATAGGGAGGAAAATGCGCTGAGTCGTCGACCTCACTCTCTGTTCCCCTACCCAGGTCCCAGTCGCTGTCCGAGTCGGTCAGTTGACAGGTGCGGGGAATAGGCGCAGTGTCTGACATATCCATGGACCTTGTCTGCGCGCGCCACATGTACGACCTGGCCGCCCAAACATGAGCACCGGGATTTTACACAACTCTTAGCCCACTAGTCTGCCACATTACACATACACTCATACAACTGGGCAGACTGCATGGACTGAGTTGGGATGTCAGTCAGCAAGTTTTCAAGCCATGGCGTGTCAGGCGCCGTGATAGTCTCATCCTCGAATCAAACATGCAGCAGAGGGACTGCTTGGGGACGGAGCCGACACGCACACCTTCCACTTGCGTGGGAGGTGGCAATTGGATGCTTGTGGTGGATGTTGATGTATTGTGTGGTGCCGGTGTTGGCGGCGAAGATTTGATGGCGTGGTATAGCCGGTGGTTGTCTATCGCAGGCTTTCATGCATGCGCATGTGGCCTAATAGGCCCATACGGTGAGTGAATGTGCGGCTGCAGTGAGGGAAGTTGAGGCGGATGCGGCGGGCGTATGTTGGTGCTTCAGGCACTGGTGTGCCAGTCTGTACGATGAATTCGCAAATGACCGACCAGGCTGATGTGTGAAGTTAATGTGCGAGGACAATGTGGACAGGAGAAGTCGGCGGTGTCAGTGCCGGTTTCGGAGATGGTGGCAGTTGTGGAGCTGTTGGTGGTGGGCGTGCGGACGACGGGATGTAAGCTGAGCTGGGCATGGTGGATGTGCAAGAGGTGCTAAGTGTGTCGAGACTGCGGCCAATTCTGCTCTCGTAGATACGCACGTGACCGAGTAGGCCCGCGCCGTGAGTGAATGCGCAGGGGCATTGTGGACAGTGGAGGCGAATGCGGCGTGTAGGTTGGTGCTCCAGGCACTGGTTCGCCTTTCTCTGTGCGATGGATTCGCAAGTGGCCGAACAGGTCGATGTGTGAGGTGAACGTACGGTCGCAATGAGGACAGGTATGGGCCGAGTCTGCATCTCTGGCGTTAACGGTAGTGAGGTTGATGTTTGCTGGCGCATCAGTTACAAATTACTCTTAGCTAGGTCATGGGAACTTTGATTCAAGAAAGTGTAAATTCTTCCAGAGGAGGAGACGTTTACTCGTCAATTTCGGTATCAGTTTACCAGTTTGACTTGAAAGTGTAGAAGAATTTTTTGATTGGCTGCTTTATTTTGGGAGGATAACTATCATGTTCTCATGTCATTTATTGCACTGACATAAAAAAATCAGACGAATGTACCTTTCGAAAGAACTTTTTTGCGCCAAGCTAGACCGAAAAAAGATGGGCGACCACTGAGATAACTGCCGTCTATGGTTTATTTCCGACCGAATTTAGCCAGTTATATCCGTAACTTACTGGGTTTCCACGTAGGCCTAGGGAGTCAAACTGATTGTGTTGGCGCTTTCTTAAAAGTATTTTGGTTGGGCACGGAAAAACTGACCCCCCCCCCCTCCCCCCAGCATTGCAGGTGGCCGTGCCCCAAATTTCAGGGAGAGGGGGGGAAGGAGTTAGGGTTATTTTTCTGATTACGAGGGTCAGGATCAGTGTTAGGACAAGAATACAGAAATCTCGTAGAATTTAGTGCCAGTCCACATGCGGTACCAGAGGAGCCAATATTTCTGTGTTCAACAAATTTTTTACTTACTTTTTTATGTTTCTCCGGCAGAACATCATCTGATCCTCAAAATATGCCCTGGATAACTGGTACGGCCGGTAGTTAAAATCAGGAAACCCGGTGATATTCAGGCAGGAATTTCTCGAAACTAGGATATCTAAGCCAAAACTTTCGGCGAGAGGATTCGGAAACGCATTCTTTTTTAAAAAAAGAATAACTTTAAACAGTCATAAATCCATGGGGCATTAATAGTACCTAAGTTTCTTTTCCCGAGCCTTATTATCAACAATATGATAAAGTCTAGTGACTAGCTAATGTATAAATCAGTACTAGATGATATCATGGCGCTCCCATTGAGATGAGATCCAAGCCGTCCCCTTTTTGCCGTGCAAACCAGGTTCACGTCTGCAGCAGACAGGTCGCGTGTGGTACGCGTAGACGGGCCATCTAACCCTGTCAACAACTGCGCCCGAGCCAGCCTCCGGCCGCTCCGATTCTGTCTTGCCAACGGGCCTAGGTAAACGAGGGAGAGTGCGGCAGATTCTGCAGAAATCGCCATCCTGCGCCCAGCACGTTGCAGGCACATGATGGACGTCGCCGTTCGCCATGATACTGGATGGTGTTCTGCACATATTAGTACCGAAAACGCACTTGAAAGTTCTTCCGCATCTAGTAGAGCACTTGAGTTCCAGTCAGTGTTTCCCTTTCTCAGTCTCTGCCACTTAACATGAACACGTCGGCCATTTTGGTCGTCTAGGCATGTGAGTGCAAGAACAGGACCACCTTTCTGTGGTACAACGCACTGGCAACTAACTGAGGTTCTACAGCCATTGAACTATGCCTATACAAGACTTTCTCAGAGGTTTAGCACGGATTTTATGTACAGTTCTCTAAATTGTACACGCTTTTTTTCCACCAGCGCATCAAATTGGAGCGCGGTAGCCGGCGGAGGGAGTCATTTAGCCGACCCGGCCAAGTCCCCGTCAGCGTCGGAGGTACGGTCCAGAGCACGTGCCCTTATTACCTTTGTCGGACGCATTCCACAGCGAATGTCTGGAGAAGTTTACACCCGCCTTTCGCAACTGGAAATGCAGCTGGCCTAATCTATGTGCATTTTCACAGACCTGTTCGATACGACCCTCCCACGATAATGCTAACCTTGTTTACTTGTCACAACATTTTTATAAGACAGTTTATTTGGCTTCTGACAGCGCGATAACTCGCCCGTAAGGGAACTGGCCTTTTATCCGAATGAGGATGACCTCCAAGAACGAAAAGATGGCGAAAAACTTCCAGTCCGTACCCCTGACAACTTGGTATGTCGCGTACGTCACCGCACTTAAACGTATTAAGTTTGAAAGCGACATCTACTAATTAAGCAATGCACGTTACAGGACCGTGTTCATGGACTACCTTAGAGGTGTGTGTAATGTGCAGTGGCAAAGTTTGCAAAACAAACTACTAATTGCATGAATGCATAGGTGACAGCCGTCTGCGGCAGCCAGTGTCCGAACCTAACCTGGCTAAAGTCTAATGCCGGTTAGCAAGCTTTGTGGAGGTAATACGCCTCAATACTGTCAGCTGACCAGTTGCCACGGCCACGTGTGTGTGCTCCCGCTCATCTCCGTGTTTCTTGCACGCCTGTGTCGACTACGCCATTTCTGCGTAATTGCCTTGGCAGAAAAACAGCAGGTGTCCTTTAAATTTAAATAAGTCGCTTGGCAAGATCATAATCACCGAAAAAGGTCGAAGAAGCCAAAACATCTGTGCCGCGGCTGCGCAAACTCGTCGGTCTCTGCAGGCACCGGGGAACTCAATCACCCCTGTTGCATGATTTAGTCTCTCAATCTAGTTTGAAGTCCTTTTGGAAAATTGGGGTATCCCGAAACAGTTGTTGTAAGAATCGAAACCCGGCAATTGCAGGTGATCTTGTATTTCCCATCTATAGTCATTATTCGTTTGTCATCCGAGACTAGGGGTTATTTCATGGAAACTGTGGTGGTTTTAGAAGGAAGCATATCGCGAAGAATGGTAAGTCCCGCTCCACCGAGCTAGCCCGCGCAACATGCTGATTAGAGTACGCCGTTAAGAAGACAGCTTTATTTCAACACCATGAGTGCTGAAGACACTTGCACAAATTGTCCACTGCCTCGTAATAAATTGTCCAACACAGAACCCAACTAGCGATTAGGCAGCCACATCGCGTCCTCCTCGCCTCCAGTCGGATGAGAGCCGTAATTGGAAGCAATACAACTTTCACGTGGGCGTTCAGTGGGGAAAAATTGGCCCGACCGTAGACGCGTGCCAATTCGCCGTAATTGGCATCCTTGCTCTTAGGTTGGGAAAAGGAAACCGCTACGGCAAGGCAGTCGGCTTCATCGGTCTATGGACAGTAAACGCTAGTGGGCGCCCGCCAGGGTGGTACGCGCAACCTGGCGGTGATACTAAATAAGCACCGTAGACAGAAAGAGGCCACAACTCCTGAGGCAACTATATTCAAAAAATTGTGCAAAATAAGCCTTTACAGAGTGGCCTTTGGCTGGAGGGAGGGAGCTAAGTGATACAAAAGTTGCGAATAACTCCATGCCGCCACTTCATGGGTACCCGCGGAATCGGTCAGGCGTCTGCCTGCTCCAAACTTTCATGTACCATAGAGGAACATCAAGAAGTAACAGCTGGCAGAAAAGCGCAGATTTGCTGCCTGGAAACGAGATGCAAGGGGAGTAACCTGTGGAGTCGGAGGGTCCGACACCAACATGGCGCAGCACGCGTTCACGTAAGCATGGATAAAAAGTTAGTTTAGCAAAAAAAACTACCGCGACGGCGGTGTGTTGGTAGGGTTGACTCTGAAGACACGAAACCAGAAGAACATAAGGCATCGACAGCAGGTGGGAGCTTGGGCCTAGCAGGGCGTACATTGAGTATAGCGCTCTCCTGCTAGACCGGCCAAATCCGTGCACGCCGAAGGGACGGCTCTGCCTTGTGCGCTACGGGCCACCCGTACTTCCCACTTATCTAAATGAGGTGTGGAGCCTCCGCCTCATCATTATGGAAAAGGGAGTAAGAAAGACAGCGGCACCAAAGGGATCAGCGCCACCCACGGGGGGCGCAAGCACACTGAACCACTTGGCCTCGGTTCGCGCGGGCCGGGATTCAAGAAGAGGTAGGAAAGTGCGGAGACGATGGCAGGTTTCGGTGGGGGGTGGGGGTCCGTCGCTAGCGTGCATTTGCCGTGTGATGTTGAGGCAAAGGGAGGACCGGAGCAAGCCTCATGGTACCCGACACAGGGATATTCGGTCGAGGCGCATCGTCGCCGCCGCTAGAAGGCAGCGGGCGTGGTTGCCGAGCCCGTGGATTCTGCGTTTGTTGGTGATGGTGGGGCTGACTGGGGACCGACGGCGGCATTTGCTGAGGTGGTGCACGCCGACGGTAGCAGGGCCCCTTGGCCTCCATATACTTGCGCACGTAACTTGAGGCCCGCTGTCGAATAGCGGGTGTGACTTCGGCGACGGAGGTGGCAAAGAGGCTGGACGAGTTGGCTGCTTGAGTCTGATGCAGTTTTTGCATCTCCTTCAGAATGACCGACTGTGCCAGCTATAAAAGAAGAGGGCGGCCGAAGTAATAGCACTACTGCTTTTGACAGCGACACAGGACTTGGCTTGCGGAAGGGTGCAATGACAAACGAATTGCTGTTTGCCCGCACAGTTGCCAAAGTTAGCCTTGTAGCGTGTGGGTTGGAGCAGGAAAAATAAACAAGGACAAAGTAAACGTCCCTTAAAAATTCTAATTAACTACTTGCCATTTTAATATTTTTTTGCTGCAAGGACAACTGAAAACCACGATTAGTCGCAACCCAAAGTTCCTAAGCTGCCTCTAAAAACGGCACAGAACATCTTGCGGAAGAGATATTAGTGAATGACTTACAGAAAGTCAGTATTTGATGCACTGCTGTGTATGAAAGGCCCGGAAGACGAATTGGGATTAAATTCAGAGGAACTTGCTCAGGCGACTAGATTTTCGCCTGATGCTTCGAGACGCTTGGACGCTCAAGTCATAAACATTGGTGGTGGAGTGAGAGAGTGAGTAACAGTAACGCAACCGTACCAATCGCACGCTGACGTCAGTATTGGCCATCGCAGTAGGGGTAACACTGCCAACCTCCTACGAAACTAAAGATCCACTCCTGCCTGTCAGAGCTTGCTAAAGAATCTTACCTACCAATATTAAACAGTTAGCGGTAATGTACTCCAAGGAATGCAATGTATGCACAAAAACAGTGAGCAAGCCCTCCGAACAAAAACGGGAATTGCCTATCGTGTTTATCTCATGATGGGTAACATAGGATGCATGCCAGTGCAGGCGAAATATATCGGTGTATAACTGCTGAAGGTGAACGTTCGTGGCGTTAAATGTTACATATATGAAAATTCGCACCCCTGTCTAGGTACCTTGACTGTAAAGGCTGGAAGTGTGCTACTTGGGACACTTTCAAAATAACGAAAGTCTCGTAAGGTATCACGGATAGACAGGCGGGACTGGGATGGTCATTTCTGGTCTTTCTTAGGTGGCATCAATTAACTATGGGTTCAAAAAGAGATCAGACAGGCCTGGAAGATGAACCCGGCTGGTCAATGAGTTTACTGCTCCAACAGTTAACGATGGGCCTACAATCTGTCAGCTGTAGTTGAGTCACATAATGGTGGCGTCTACCCACCATTCGACAATAACTGTTCTTGACTAGGTTTGTGCGTGAGTGCGGGCTCTTCAACGAGGGCAGAGTAATATAAACTTGAGATTCTTACTAACAGGAAATGTCAACTAAAATTTCGAAATGCGTTCTCGTTTCGAAAAGATAAATTAAGTAGTGTTGTAAAAATAATCATGATGCAGCATAAATCTATAATGATCCAGTTACTTCAGGGTGTCAGCTTTCGAAAGAACTTATTTTCGGCTGCACGCAAGATCTAAACTCTGCAAAAATGACTACTTAAGTAGTATGCAATTTTCTCATTGATTTTCTATGTCCTTGAAATGTCAATTATATTTCATGGAAAACATGCATAAAAATATTCATTCTTTTACTTATTCGGTAGAAAATCAAGTCTTCTTGCAATTTCATACTCAAAAGAAGAGTATAATGCGGTTGTAGAAAAGTTTCTAAAATGTGAGATTTTTTAATATCGTTAAATGGCCGTTCATGAAACGTCATGTATCTGCATTTACGAATGCGGCTTGTAAAGTTAACAATATTGCTCAAATCCACTGCTAAATTTTATGAACCTCATATGGTATCCTCTTAACACCGTAGAGAAATGCATGGTTTTCCGTACACGGAAAGTACACAGCTTGTAGTTTTGAAACCCTGAATGCAAGTGTAACAGCGGGTCGGGTTCAAAATTATTCGGGAATAAGAACAGTTTTTTAAAACCGAATTATACTCTTCTTTGGAGTAGGAAATCGGAAGGAGACGTGATTTTCTACCGAATAAGTAAAAGAATGAATATTTTTATGCATGGTTTCCATGAAATATAATTGACATTTCAAGGACATGGAAAATCAATGAGAAAATTGCATACTACTTAAGTAGTCATTTTTGCAGAGTATAGATCTTGCGTGCAGCCGAAAATAGGTTCTTTCGAAAGCTGACACCCTGAAGTAACTGGATCATTATAGATTTATGCTGCATCATGATTAGTTTTACAACACTACTTAATTTATCTTTTCGAAACGAGAACGCATTTCGAAATTTTAGTTGACATTTCCTGTTAGTAAGAATCTCAAGTTTATATTACTCTGCCCTCGTTGAAGAGCCCGCACTCACGCACAAACCTAGTCAAGAACAGTTATTGTCGAATGGTGGGTAGACGCCACCATTATGTGACTCAACTACAGCTGACAGATTGTAGGCCCATCGTTAACTGTTGGAGCAGTAAACTCATTGACCAGCCGGGTTCATCTTCCAGGCCTGTCTGATCTCTTTTTGAACCCATAGTTAATTGATGCCACCTAAGAAAGACCAGAAATGACCATCCCAGTCCCGCCTGTCTATCCGTGATACCTTACGAGACTTTCGTTATTTTGAAATTTTGGTTGACATTTCATG